GGTAAAATCATCTTGTGGCAGGTAATATCTGTAATATACATGTAAAAGACAAACTTGCTACTATGTTGTATTTCCAAATGTTAAAGTCTAAAACTTGGAGTAGTTACTTGGTTTTCTAAATAGTCCACAGAATTGTGACTTTCCTGAGTGCCTAATTTTAATAGTAGGTCATTTGCTAGAGGTCCAACGTTGTAGCTTTTTGATTTAAAAATAAAACATTTATTATTCTTTGACTGAACATGAATAAAGGAGATCTAGTAATGATATTGATAATACTGTACTTAATGCAGAAAATGTAGAAAACCACATAACACCTACATCAACAGACTTGAATTCCAATAACACAAATACATAACTTACTTGAGATTGGCCATCACTTGAATTTTAGTCATTTCTGATCTTAAATCATAAAACAATAACTTAGCTCCTGATTCTCGCTTAGAATGGATTCTACCTGAAATAGAAAATAAAATAATTAGATTATATGACTTCTAACATCAGATAAGTTGGCAAACCTTTCCCACAATCAAATGGATCCATCTAAATGCTTGATTCATAATAATAGTTTTATCAGTATTTTAGTAATATAGGCCTACCTGCAACTCTTATGTCTGGTGCATCTTCTAACACAGTTCCTGGTTCTATAGAATTCTCATATTTATCTATAAATTCTGTTAAAGACATGGTTACATCAAACTTGTGGGGGTAAGGATGAACTGGGCTATCTTTCAGCTGGGCCACAAGATTTGACCGATATTCAAAATAAGCCTGTGGAGAATCAAAGTCTGTATTAGAAGACATTTTGATCTAAAATAAATCTTCATTTCCCGCATATCATAAACTTTAAGATTTGGTACAAATGACCTCTTTAATTTAAGATAAAATAGTAATGATGCAATTAATCGAAATCAAAATTGAAAATAACACAGCATGAATTTTATAAATTCATGATCATAATGGCATGATGAAATAGAATACAATAACAATAGCAGATAGGTTCTTAAAGAAGCAGTCTTCCATAAACTAAATTATACAAACCAGATGTTGTCCTTTTGTTGTCTTAAGACACGCAACGAAAACAAGAATCTCGAGCTTTACCATAAATATACATGTAGGTGACCTTCGGGTATTAAATCTAGTGCCAAGAGTCTTGATATGTTTATTATTTAACTTTGGCATTTTGAAAATACCTGATACCTTTATGTGATTGGGTTTATAACCTTGGTAACCTTGGAGTCCGCAAACCTATACAGATGACTTACCCCAGCATCCAATTCATCTTCTTTAAGTTTTTCTTTCTTATCATTATCTTGTACTACAACAGCTTTTTCAGCTTTTTCCTTTGCTTTCTTATCAGCCTTTAATCTCCTCTTCAATTCACTACAACAATCAACACATAATTAGAAACCTTTGAAGGAGGAACATTTGTAAATATCAAATTATTTAGATTGCGCATTCTCTATCATATTTGTTAAATCAAATTTTCCAAAAAAAAAAAACTTAATAATCGGAACCTGATACAATATGCTACCAAGTTATGACATGATCAACACTTTCAAAGACAATATGTTGCTGCTCTTAGATTGCAATTGTGAACATGATATTCCTTTGCACATTTTTACCTTTCTTTGGATATGAATGTTGGCAAAAACACTGAAAATATTTACCGCGTTTTACAATATGACACAGATGTATGAAATTCTTCAGTCAAATAATTGAATGCAGGAATGAGCTTTTTGTTGCATGACTTAGACAGAAGAATTTTAGAGAAACTAATATTTTTAAAGAGTTTTGCAGCAAACATTTTAATTTTCTATGTACCAAACTCCAAAGTTTTCTCTTACTCTTTGCATAAATAAACCTAGATTCCTTTTAATTTAAGCTGAAATATCCATTCCAAAATAAAGAAAATAGAAAAGTACTTTAAATATTGGTACCGGTAGTAAAAACTGGTCAAACTGAATATTTAATTTACTTATCAGAAACAAAATGCGTTTTGATCTATCACTCCAGTCTTTTCATACCTACATTTTACAATGCATGTATTATACCGATAGGCCTAATTATAGAATTGATAGACACAGACGTACACACGTACAAGGATTTCTACCTAAAATAAGCTAGGCCTATAAAGCGGCGATGCTTCATCGTTCCAATAACAAAAGTTTTGGGAAATGTATGATGAAATAAAAGGAAATATTTTTCGGTTCATGTCTTCAAAAATAATAAAGTGAAAGTAAAACAAAAACAATCGATTTCATCATATCCAAACTCTTATTTTAGAAATGTAAGGTAAAATGTAAATTCCCTGGTTAATAATTTTCAGTTTCTTTGACAATTCGCAAAAAACTAAATTAAAATCGTACGCAAAACTACAAACTTTTTACTCAATTTCTCTCCTGTCTCAGCCATGTTGATTACACGTGCAATATTTACACCGAGAACGAGGTTTTTCGCGCAATTTTTTGTTATCTCCCTTCATTCTTAAATTTATAATCAGACAACAACTAACTCCTTATTCCGGAAAAATAAAAACAGATCAAGACAACTCGACTTTTACTTTGTATACAAGGATTGAATTGCAGTGATGTATGTAGGAAGTTTTTACATAGCTTTACTATGACTTTGGTAACCATAATCATTTCACCCTATTAATTTTTGATGAGGAACAAACTGCACCAGCGATTCTAGAAATAATTCCAATTTCTATATATGAAAAAGATAAAGGATGAGATGAAAGATTTAAAGGCACATATGCTCCATTTTGGGTGGTTGATTTGAGTCTTGAAAATATGTAAATAGTCTTCAGAAGTACAAGAAGTGTACGCAAATCGTATAATTCCTTCCAAAATATATTAAAATATTAAACTAGGAATTTTACTCACCTTTTCTATATAAGTATTTTTGATATATATATCACAGAGTATCTTAAAATGACCAAGCTAAAAAAAATCTCGTTTCTGAGATTAAGGTATGATTGGTTCAAAACAATGGCGCATCTGTCCCTTTAAGTTGGAAGATGAGACAAGGAAGGCCTAAAGAAGCAAGATCAGACCAAGTAAAGATTAAAGATGGGACAAGGAAAAGGTGGAAGATGAGACAAGGAAAAGGTAGAATATCAGACAAGGCAGGGATGGAAGACGAGACAAGGTACAGAAGGAAGATCAGGCATGATTTAGATGGAAGAAATGACAACGTAAACATGGAAGATGAAAGATCAGTTAGGAACAGATGGAAGATGAGACAAGGTAAAGATGGAAGATGAGACAAGGTAAAGATGGAAGATGAGACAAGATAAAGATTGCTGATTGGAGAAGGTGAAGATGGAAGATGAGACATGGTAAAGATGGAAGATGAGACAAGGTAAAGATAGAAGATGAGACAAGGTAATGATGGAATATGAGACAAGGTAGAGATGGCAGATCAGATAGCGAAAAGATGGAGGGTTGGGCAAGGTAAAGAGTGGAATTTGAGTCAAGTTAATGGTGGAATGTAAGAAAATGGATTATTTTAAGTTTTATAAAAGAAATTGAGATATTCTGCATATAGGCAGAGATACTGTACGTATTAACTGCTTCTTTCTGATTCCAAGCTGTCAATGTAGTTTTTACGTGCATAATCATTTTGTTGTGCATGGGCGATGATCAACCATTGAAAAAATCAACTTTCTAATTTTACAAAAGATCGAAAAGTATCATTTATGACAAGTAAATAAACTGAACAATTTATTTTATTTAAAGGGTATAGTAAAGCAGTAAACAATATACGTGGTGATTGGTTAATGTGATCTGGATATTTATAGAGTAAAAGTTCACTTCGATGTATTTTATCACTTTTGGATTGTCAAAAAAATATAAGCTCTACCTAAACAATTTCCTCGACACCGATGAAAAAGGATGGAGGAATTGAATGTGTTACAATCACAAGAAGGTCTAATGCTTTCACAGTGTAATAGAACATTGGCAACTTGATCTACTCATATAACTCTTCATCTTCAAAAGAGTGTCTCAAATATCGACAGTTACGGAGATATGATAAGTCATAGCTCTTTTCTTCTTCAATAGCTTTGTTTTTATTCATTGCTTCTAAAAACACTTTCACGGCTTGAGAGGCAGAGAGACCTACTGAAGATCGCCTTCTGATGCTGTTTCTTCTTCCATTGGATAAAATAGATAGTCTTCTCCATTTATTCACAACTTGCTGTTCGTTCTTATCATCTGAACTGTTTGATGTCGCCATGGAACCTCGTCGACCTGTTACTGGTGCTTTTTCCTCAACGGAATTTTCATTTTTTTGTTTCAGAACGACGCCATCATAAATCTGTGTATCTTCGGATTCATCATTCTGGATTATCTTAGATAATACTTTCCACTTGCTGAACTTCTTTAGAGATGATTTGGCCCCAACCATCGATGTTGAAAGAGAAATATCAACTTGGTTTGGGATAGGGGTCTCTTCAGTCTTAGACTCAATGATTTTTTTACAGCCCACCTTTGCCCAACGATTAAGTTCCACAAACTTGGTAAGTTCCGTAACAGTAATGGCAGGAAGCACAATACTTTCTCTTGGTGTCAACGAATTATTGGTATCTTCGCTGCGTGTGGTCAGTGGCGGTAATGTAACAGTTTCGGGTAAGTCTGCTGTTTCTGATTGTTTCTCTAGATTTTTGACTGGTGTCATAGCTTCCAGAATGGAGATAATTTTCTCTCTCTTCACTATGGCTGCATTTCGCTCCAATATTCTCGCCTGCCGTTTGTTTTCCCAGGCATCTAGATCATTCAATGCACATTTTCTTTTACTAAGCATCATGTTGAATAGATCCTTCCTTAAACTACGATTCGAAAATCTGTGATTTTTAGTGAATATTTTTACTTTGGCATTAATGACGTTTAAATCATTTTCTAGTGCAGTTTCAAACCGCCGTAGAGAGCGATCCCGTGACAAATCCATTTTTAACAACGGTGATTACTTGTGGGTTGCACTGAGAAGTTTAAAGCACTACATAGAAATCTTCATTTAGTATCGTTTCCACAAAGAATACCAATCCTTTAGCACTTAATAAAAGCGACACCGCTCCAGACCTATCATAGTGAGCGTTATTACATTTAGTCCCATGATAAAATCAGTTCCTACTGCTAGCTCACGAAAAAAGAATGATCTGGCCTTCTTGTGTTCAAATAGTGGATTTGATTAACAAAGGTATAATAATGATATATGTAACAATTAGGCAAGATTATAGCTAATCCATTCTGAAAGACCAATTAAACCATGGATTTATATGATAAATCTTGTGAACCCTTTCATTAATCTTAATAAACTTCTTTCGCCGCAGCGGGATTTAAATCGTTAAGCACACAAGACATTCTCAAAAACACACTCTTTATGGTAATTTATATAGATACATTATGGACAAAGTAATAATTTTTAGGGGAATTTCCCGCATCTATATGTAATCTGAGTTTTTCCTTATTTCGTCTTTATTTCGTTCGGAAATAATTCCTGACGGAGCAGTCATGAAATATAAGAATCTATCCAAAATAAATTTTTCTGTGGTGAAGTGTTACATACCGGTACTCAAAAACTGCAACCAGACTCATGACATTTTGTAGGGAGGGTTGGAAAGAGAGTAGTAAGGTGATCAGGCTATTTAGTTTTAGATTATATTAAACGTCTAATTTTTTTAAAAAAATCTTTCGAAAGGCGTGATGACGAACATAGCTATTTAAATGTAGTCTACAAAATAAAGGTTAGATCAAGCTTATTTCCCTTCCCCCCTGAAATTTTGATGATGGGGAAACTTGCCGATTCTGATATGGCATTGAAAGCATGTCCCGGAAAAGAAGTGCATAAAGTTTTTTTTCTCAAAGAAATCGACACTTTTTGAGGTAATAAATAAACATGCAAAGTCTGTATAATAAGTATATATTTTATATTGTAAGAGAAGAGGTGAAAAGCTTCAGTTCACAAATCTTGTCTGATTTACATAAAGTCACCGAAGCACTATTATCAGTATTTCTCAGAGTTGCGTGAAGTCTGGTTTGACCTTGTTAGAATCTCATACAGTCATGGAATTTCTTGTCAGAATTTACATACAGTCATGGTAACACTTCAAGCTATTATACAGTCATTGTAGAACTTTTCAGAATTACATACAATCATGGTAGTACTTGTCAGAATTACATAATCTATTATCATGGTAGTACTTGTCAGAATTACATAAATCATGGTAGAACTTGTCAGAATTACATACAATAGTGGTAGTACTTGTCAGAATTAAATAAATCATGGTAGTACTTCAGAAATACAAGGTGGCACTTGTCATAAAGTCAAGTCACAAAGTCATGGTAGCACATGTCAGAATTACATCAAATCATGGTTTAACTTGTCAGCAGAATGTAAGGTCATGGTATAACTCTTCATCATAATGTAAGGTCATGGTATAACTCTTCATCATAATGTAAGGTCGTGGAATAACTCTTCATCATAATGTAAGGTCATGGAATAACTCTTCATCATAATGTAAGGTCATGGAATAACTCTTCATCATAATGTAAGGCGATGGTATAACTCTTCATCATAATGTAAGGTCATGGAATAACTCTTCATCATATTGTAAGTTCATGGTATAACTCTTCATCATAATGTAAGGTCATGGAATAACTCTTCATCATAATGTAAGGCGATGGTATAACTCTTCATCAGAATGTAAGGTCATGGAATAACTCTTCATCATAATGTAAGGTCATGGAATAACTCTTCATCATATTGTAAGGTCATGGTATAACTCTTCATCATATTGTAAGGTCATGGTATAACTCTTCATCATATTGTAAGGTCATGGAATAACTCTTCATCATAATGTAAGGTGATGGTATAACTCTTCATCATAATGTAAGTCATGGTAGCACCTGTCAGAATAAGTAAAGTCATGACTAAAATATTTATGACAAGTCAGCAATTAATCTCTGAAATTTTTTTTCATTCATTTCCATTCAAACCATATCACTTCTGACATTTTGTCCTGTTTATATGAATCAAATATTAATAATTATTTCCACCTAAATCAAAATGAATGAAACTTGATATGAAAAATAATCAAAATTTGCCTGGAAGGTAGCAATCAAATATGGTGAAAATCACCAAGACAGGATATAACTGGCTAGCATTAAAGAGAAACAAGATATTTTTAATAAATAATATTATCTTTGACCAAGAATTTGACTGACACAATATTTTCATTTCTTTGATCACTAAATTTCTTTTATTTTCCACTAAAGTCAAAATATTTATGAAAAAAAGTTGTTTTTGAATATTTTGGTAAATTTAATTAAAAATAACAATAAGTGAAAATATTTGTGAAATGGCCATGTAAATTGATTTGTGTTCACAACTTGGTTTTCTTCTATGACTAGTTTTATTCATGAGTGAAGATGATTTGAGGTGTGTGATTTATTTCAATGATGTTGATCTCTATATCTTAATGGACATTACCTTTTAGCGAAATATAAAAGAAGTGAAAGCTACTGTCCTTGCACAATATTTCTAGACTAAACTCTTGTCAGTTGAAGTCAAAGAGGGTGCAGAATTATAGATTGCAAAGAACAGATGTAAAGTAATCATTTAGTAATGTATAGCTTTTTTAAACAGAATAGTGTCATCTCAAACTCTTTTTACAACGGTAGGCTAATATAGGCTTTTACAGCTTTGTAAGCTAGATATCACAAAATGTGATCAATTCTCTAAAAACAAGTCCTTCCTTTTGAAATTCACAACTTGACCTTGAACACTAATATCCACGAAACCTTTAAAGAGGATAATTTAGGACAATAAAGCCCCAACGAAATATGTTGCATATGTATGCAATATACCCAAATTTCTACAAGACAAACATAATTCCATTGTGTAATTCGTCTTGGATAAGTGGCTTCCGTTCTTTTGGAGGTGCATAATGAGATACCTGAACGACCTTGAGTTTGGCTTTGTATTCAATACCGTTGTTCACTTTGTCTTTCTTCTAATTTATTATCTCAAAAAGTGTCGATTTCTTTGAGAAAAAAACTTTATGCACTTCTTTTCCGGGACATGCTTTCAATGCCATATCAGAATCGGCAAGTTTCCCCATCATCAAAATTTCAGGGGGAAAGGGAAATGACTTAAACATTGTAAACATGGTTACATACAGTAAGGTTTTAGATTGAATAAGATTAGGAAATAATATGAGAGTATTTGTCTGTATGTAGAAGAGTACAGACCAATATAGATACACTTCAGACAGAAGACAATACAATAATAATCTGACAATATCCTCTTAATGTCACTTGATATCATAACTAATTCCTTTATAGTCAAACACAAATACTCATCATACTAATTAGTTTAGTCAGATATTGCTTTGATTTTTTTAATCTCCATTGACACTTGCTGTACCAATGATATATAGGTTGTTCCCTCTGTCAGTGATGTTTGTTGATGGGGAAAAGCTTGGAAAACTTTAAGTTTATATATTGAAACACTTTCAAAATATTTAGTGCATCCTTTAAGCTCCACTTCAGAATGTATCTTGATGCTCAGTTCACACCAAAGTGGTACCAAAGCGTAACAAAGCTCAACTAAAGTGTCAGGGTTGTAATAGATCATTGGAAAGCTTTGAGCAAAGCTGGATATTCGGCAAGAGCGCCAAAATTTTTTAAACTGTTTAAAAATTTTGGGCGCTCTGTCACGAATTGATTAAAGCACCGAGAACGTATCAAAGCTTAACAAAGTGTTACAAAGTTCAGCAAAGCTTGACTCAAAGCGTAGGAAAGCTTAACAGAGCTTTATTCAAAGCGGGGACCCCAGTCTTCATGGTCTGTCACCACTTGATCAAAAGCAGCATGAAATCGGCCATTTCGAAATTTTCCAATGCATAACAGAGCTTAACAATGCACAACAGAGCTTGATAATCGTATCAGAGCGTGATTTAAAACGTCATAACCACATCAAAGCTTAATAAAGCTTATCAAAGCGTGATTAATAGCGTAACAAGACCTGATCAAATCGGGAAATAACATTACTTAGGAGATCGTGATATTCTTTGAAAAGTAAACAAAAAATGATGGCGCTTTGCTCACCGATTTAAAGCGCGGCATTCGCCATGGTGTGAACTAGGCATTAAAGATGAAGTGTTAAAGTAATTGACATTACATTGTCAGTTTTGACAAAAGATGACCAGTATCCCACTAGGTGTTAATCCCTGTTGACCAGGTTAAACGAATAGGAATTAACATTTTGTCAACTATGGTATTAAACCAGTGACTTTTGTTATTTTCTTCTATTTGTAGGGGGATTATGGTGTCTGATTGGCTATTAATTCAAAATGTTTCTTTGTCAGATTTACAAATACGGTTACGACTCATTTAGAGTTCAAAGAATCTACTAGGCTCAGAATTCTAGAACACTTGATACCACTCTATGACTGCTATTATCGACTCTGCATCCTACCTAGCTTATAATAGATAGTTATTCTGAAAATGTAAAGGAATATAGTTATCTAAGTATTTGTTTACCAGACATTACAGCTAATTATTCACTATTCCTATCTCTTTCAGAATTAAAATATCCTACAATTCTACCAAACTGTAATATGGAGTTTAGGATGTTAGTTTCATGAATATAATATTGATGGTATTATAAGAATATTATATTTATTGTATTATAAGAATATAATATTTATGGCATTATAAGAATATAATATTTATGGTATTATAAGAATATTATATTTATGGTATTATAATAATATAATATTTATGGTATTATAAGAATATAATATTTATGGTATTATAAGAATATTATATTTATGGTATTATATGAATATTAAATTTATGGTATTATAAGAATATTATATTTTTCGTATTATATGAATATTATATTTATGGTATTATAAGAATATTATATTTATGGTATTATAAGAATATAATATTTATGGTATTATAAGAATATAATATTTATGGTATTATTAGAATATAATATTTATGGTATTATAAGAATATAATATTTATGGTATTATAAGAACATAATATTTATGGTATTATAAGAATATTATATTTATGGT